GTCTTCAAGGCCGGATGGAAAAAGACCACCCGTTTATGCCTGTGCCGGACGATGGGGTATCTGGGGGTGAGCTGGGATGGCTGGATGTGGGTTGGACAGTGGGCCGACGGGGTCACGGCCGGGGTAGGATACGTCGAGTATCGGCGTCTACTGCTTGCGCCCGGCCTTCGTTCGAGTGTATCCTGGCTGTGGTCCCACACCCACTGGCTGGTGTCCATCTCAGAGACCGCAGGAGGTCATGAGGGTCGATGGGAGTGCCAACCCCACAATGCCTAAACCCAGCCCAGTACGTACTTTTAGCTCCAGCTGTCGAACTGACCCGCTACAATAGTGCCAGTGAGGCGGAGGCGCGAGTCGGAAGGCCGCGACCGTGATTTGGTCCCCTCATTTTCCTACAATCGCTGTGAACCCAGCCACGTATCTCGTATCTCCCGGTATCTCCCGGTATCTCCCAGTATCCGTATCCCGCGGTATCCCGCGGTATCCTATCCCCGGACCCCGCCATATCTCTCGCCGCGGAGATACCGTGAAATATCTCTTGGAGGGGAAAAAATCGTCCCGCAGACGGCCAGACCAGGGATTCTTCGTAACTTCGAGTTCGACTTCGAGCCTTCGATCTTTTCATCTTTTGTCGTGCTCGGACGTCGGAGGGGGGGGCTGTGCTTAGTAAAAGACATCCGGGCTGTCGCGCGTGAGAACCTGAGGGAGGGTGTAGAGGATGTAGAGTGTAGAGCGCTGTAGAGCTGTAGAGATGTAGAGCGCTGTAGAGCTGTAGAGCTCTACATCCGCCGCGTGACGATGCGCCTGCGTTGTAGAGCGATGTAGAGCGCGATTTTGCTGTAGAGTTTGTTGTAGAGGCTCTACAGCCAAACCGCGGGAAGGCAGTGACTCAAAGAGGTCAAGCCGCGCTAATGGGGTGTCTCCGAGCTTACTGGAGCTCTGATGGACGGCCCTGACTATCCCTGACACACAGAGAGTCACTCTGACGGCACACAACACCCTATAACTGCGTCATGACCAGCCTGCCATGCGTCGCCGGTGCCGCATTCGTCGCAGTGCTTCTGTAGCAGGTGGTGGACTGTCGGCTGCGAGGACGGTCGCATTTGCGCGAGGCGAGGCGAGCATTGCTGCGCGTTGCATGCGCCATGCCTCGCGCCAGCGCGTGCGGGAGCTCCCGACTCGCGCCTCCGCCTCACTGGCACTATTGTAGCCCTGGCCGGTGCGCGTGCAGAGTTGAAGTTCCGGAGTAAAAATTCGAACGCGTTCTCTCACGGTGACCAAAAAATGTCCACCTCAGAGGCACCTCCGGAGGCAGGCCGCCGCACGCCGGCGACACAGCTCCAGCTGTCGAACTGACCCGCAGCTCCTCTCAGAGCGGGAACTGTGACGAAAGTTGACTGAGGCGGTTGTCAGGAATCATCATACGGATCACATGGTGGCTCTCTCATGACGGGAGACCGCCCGACCACTCCTGGGTGGCACTGCCACCGGTGTCGCTCGACGTCCTGTCGACAGCGTGCCGACAGCGACACAGACCATGTGGGACGCGTCGAGTATCGACCTCTACTGCTTACCCAGCCTTCGAGTGTATCCTGGCTGTGGTCCCACACCCACTGGTGTCCATCTCAGAGACCGCAGGAGGTCATGAGGGTCGATGGGAGTGCCAACCCCACAATGCCTAAAAACCCAGCCCAGTACGCCGAGCCGAGCTGACGCGCCGAGGCGCCGGCCAGTCGCAGCCGTGAGGCATGCCACAGCAGCAGAGGCACCTGCCACCCATTGGGCGGGCAGACAGAAGGCCAGGGCAGCACTGGCAAGTGCAACGCGCCTCAATGTCGGAGAGCGACCGTGCCTCGTTCGCCGCTTTTGATGTAGAGTTTGTTGTAGAGATTTCACGTTGTAGAGCGCCTCTACATCGCTCTACAACGCAGGGTCACGCGCCGGATGTAGAGCTCTACAGCTCTACAGCGCTCTACAGCTCTACAGCTCTACAGCGCTCTACACTCTACATCCTCTACAGACCCTCCCTCAGGTGAGAACATGCTTTTACAAAACAAAACAGGCCGACGGATCCCTCTTTCGGGGCAGTCCGAGCTCAGACCTCAGTCCCGCTTCACCACTCAAGTGTGTCCGCTCGCCGCTCCTGCGCCTCGTCCCTCTGGCCGTCATCCATGGAGAAGAGCTCGCTCGGCACCAGCACCAGCCCCTCCCGGCTCACCCGCGCGACCGTCCACTGCCCCTCCAGCTCTGCCGGCCATGCGCGGCCTGGCTGCAGCTTCGCCCACGCCGCCGCCGTGAACGGACGGTTGATCAAGCCCTCGGCGCGGGCGGCGGCTGCCGCTCCGCGCAGCGGCAGCTCGGTCTGCGTCAGCAGCAGCAGCAGCGCGCCAGCTGTGCTGGGCAGCGCGTAGCCGAGGAGGAGGCCGTTGAGGAGCAGTTCCGACCCCGTCCTCGGGTTGTAGCAGTCCCACGCGCCGGCGCGGCGCTGCCGCGCGGCGGAGAGCCGCGCCGCTGCCAGCCACGCCTCGACGCACCGCCGCCGCACCGGCCGCCCCCCCTTGGACCGCGGTCTCGGCCGGGGCAGCAAGCGGGCGGCCGAGGGCGGCCAGGGGCGCCTCCTCCCTCGCGCGAGGAGGTGGCGGCGGAGCGAGGCGACGGCGCGGCGGGGGAAGCTCGGGCAGGCGCGGCCGAGGCGGGCGTCAAAGGCGCGCGGCGAGATCGCCTCTCGCCCCCCAAAGAGAGCCGTGGGGAGGGTGCGCGGCAGCGGCGCCGGGCCTCGCATGCCGTGGCGGCAGAGCGAGTCGCCGGCGAGGGCGGGTGCGGCGTCTCTTGGGGCGTGCCAGCGGCGCCTGACCGCGGCGAGAACCTCCTCCAGCCTGCCCCTCTCGCCGCGACGCGATAGGAGCGGCACCATCAGCGCCCGCCAACTGGCCTCGATGGAGTCGAGGTCAAAGGCGTCGCCCCACGTCAGGCCGCGCAGGCTGGCGCACACTGACCAATGCGCCCCGCCGCCGGTGGCCGCCCCGCCGCCGCCGCGCGACCAGGTGACTCTCACCGCCGCGTCGGCGGAGCGAGAGCGCGCCAGCTCCCTCGCTCGCCTGGCGAGCGAGGCAGCCTCGCGTGCGGCTCCCGGCCCGTCGGTGAGCGACTCTCTCGCAAAGGGCTTGCGGCCGAGGATGGCGCGCGCGAGGCCGCCCAGCTCGGCGGCCGGCGCGAGCAGCGAGGTCTCGAGGCTCATGTGCGCCGCGTTGCGCCACGA